ACCAACATTATCAACATCTAATAAGGTCTAAACTTTATTACCTTGAAGCCCAAGCCGTTTACTTTTTTAAATTACATTTTATTATCCCGAAATTAGAAACATCTTGAAACTAGATGTTACAAATTACTAAAAATTGAAATATAGTCTAAACATTTTAAAAAACATCATAATCACATTAGACACACACACAAATATATATATATATATATATATATATATATATATATATATATATATATAATATATATATATATATATATATATATATATATATATATATATATAATCAAGATCAACATAAAACCAAATATTCATCACAAAACCATACAACCACATCAATATAACCAATGTTCATGTACGAACGATGTTGAGTTATAAACAAACATCATGTTCAAAAATGAATATAGTTATTTTATGCGGTTATGTGGTTAATACTTTGTTGGGACGTGTGCTCGAGGAACTTAACTACTCACAATTGCTTTGCGAGAAAAAAAAATCCATAAATCAACGTTTTAAGACTCGCTAGTCGTTACCACAATACCCAAGTATTATTAAACATTTAGTTAGTTACTAATCATCTTTTCGTAATTAAGAAATTAAGATTAGGCTTAAACAAAATATTTTACATATTGGGAAAAACATAAACATAAGTTAAATTAAGGCTTTTGTGCATATCGCATAATGTATCTACACAAATACATCTCATCCATGATCCCAATGTTTCATATGCAACGTGTACATGATTTCTTAACATCTTTAACACCATTTAACATGCAATGTTAAAATTGAAATATCATCTAATCATACAAAAAAAAAATCAGATCACATCTATCTATCTCTCTCTCTCTCTCTCTCTCTCTCTCTCTCTCTCTCTCTCACACACACACACACACACACACACATATATATATATATATATATATATATATATATATATATATATATATATATATATATATATATATATATATATATATATATATATATATATATATATATATATATATACACACACAAGACATGCATGTAGATAAACTCCAATCATTTTATTTTGTTGGGATGCATACTCAAGTAACATTTGATTTTCGAGAAAAATCCACAAACCAATGTTTTTAGTGTCATTAGTCGTTACCACTTACCACAACACCTAAATATTATTAAACATTTAATTAGGTCCTAACCATCTTTTCATAATTAAAATTAGGCTTAAAAATGTTTTACATGCTATTGGGAAAAAGTTAAACATAACTAAGTCCACCACATGCAATGATGCAAACTTTTTTAATGTTACTAAGTCGATTGGCCAACTCAACAAACTCGTTCAACTTAAGTTTTAAAGTCGACCAATCAAACTTTGGGTTTTGCCTGGTTGATCCCATGATAATATTATTTGTGGTGTCCTTTTTTCGTTTATAAGTTAACGCTTTGTTCATTTTTACCTAAAAATGTATTTCTCATGGTTTTTTCCGTATGGATGATAATGGAACCGAATCAATCTCATAGAACATCATAACACACAAATATACTCTAAATTAAGATCTCAACTATTAGTTGCAACCAAGGTTCATTTTTTGAAAACAAACATAATCAGAATCGAGGTCTTATCATAAATTTTATAGGGAAAATGAATTATAAGTCCAAGGAAGTTTTCAAACCGTTCAAAAAACACCAATTATGTTTTGCCTGTTCAAGAAAACCATACGAACATAACCTTTTGTCTAAAAAACCCAACTAGCTTATACTTCTCATTTAGGGTCAACCGGTTAATGAAAGTCAACAAATGACATGACTTATGACGTGTAATTAAATATCGGAAAATAACTTGTAAGACTAACGAAGTTTCAAAACCGTTCATAAAACTCCAATCATGTTTTGTTTGTTGAAAAAAGATGATTGAGGGTTTTTGAACGGTTTTGAAACTTCGTTGGTCTTACAAGTTATTTTCTGATATTTAATTACACGTCACAAGTCATGTCATTCGTTGACTTTAATTAATCAGTTGAACCTGAATGGGAAGTGAATGAAAGTGTAAGTTAGTTGAGCTTTTTTAGATAAAAGGTTAGTTCGTTGAGTTTTCTTGAACAGACAAAACATAATTGGGTTTTTTTTGAATGGTTTGAAAACTTAAATGGACTTTTAAGTCATTTTCCCAAATTTTAAATCATGAAACAAGAAGACATGGTCTTCTTCTCATACCATTTAGCTATCTCTCAATAGATTATATGATTATGCAATTACTTGAAATCCTAATCTAGTATCTATAAATATCTCATCATGTTCATATCTCCTATTTTCCTTCGACACTTCATTAAGCCCACAATATTCTAATTAGACACAAATCACACAATGCGTTTTATTGAAACAATTCAAAAACCAATGCTTTGTATTTTTTAGATAACTATAATATTGTTAATTTAAAACTAAAAACTAGTTTATTATTTAAAAAACTTAGAAAATTTATACAAATAATCATGTGGTTGGCAGAAAATATCACTACAAGTCTTTTTAAGAAAATTTAAAGATGCTTAGGTTGCGTTTAGTTACGGAAAAACAATTTTCATTTTCCGTTTTTTGTTTTCCCTTTTCAATTTTCATTTTCCGTTTTCATTTTTCATTGAAAAATTTAGAGAACGCGTTTAGTTAAACTTATTCATTTTTCATTTTCAGTTTTAGAAAACGTGTTTAGATGTCTATTTTTCTATCAGTTTTCATTTTTAAAAAACAGTAGTGGTAGTAGGGTGTGGGTGGGGGCGGTGACGGTAGCGGGTCGGCGGTGGTGGTGATGACAGGCGATGGTGGTGGCGGCGTTAATTTTGTCAGTGGTGGTGCTAGTGACGAGTTAGTGGTGGTGGTGGTGATGGTAGGTCGGTGATTGTTGTGGTGGTGTTGGGTGGGTAGGGGTGCGAGTGTGTGTTTGTGTGTGTATGTGTGTTTGTGGGGGTAGGTGTAGGTTTGTGTGTGTGTGGGTGTGTGTGTCTGTGAGGGTGGGGGTGGGGGTAGGTGTGGGTGTGTGTGTGGGTGTATGGGTATGTATGTGTGTGTGTGTACGGGTGGGGGTGTATGGGTGGGTATGTATGCGTGTGTGTTTGTGGGTTGGTGTGTGTCTTTGTGTGTGGGTGTGTGTGTGAGTGTGTATGTATGTGTGTGTGTTTGTGGGTGGGTGTGTGGGTGGGTAGGTATGTATGTGTATGTGTGTGTTATGGGTGGCTGTGTGTGTTTGTAGGTGGTTGTGTGTGTGTTTGTGGGTGTGTGTGTGGATGGGTATGTATGTGTGTGTGTGGGTTGGTGTGTGTGTGTGGGTATGTATGTGTGTGTGTGGGTTGGGGTGTGTGTGTGTGTGTGAGTGGGTATGTATGTGTGTGTGTTTGTGGGTTGGTGCGTGTGTGTGCGGGTGTGTGTGTGTGGATGGGTATGTATGTGTGTGTGGGTGGGGGGTGTTAAGGTGGGAATAGGTAGAAGTGGATGGGGTGAAGTGGGTGTGTGTTTATAGAAAAATTTTGGAATTAGAAAAATATAGAAAACAATGATTATCAATTTTCCAAAAATTTCCAACTTCTTTGTAATTTTAGAAAACGGAAAATTTTCATTTTCCGTGAAAAATTTAGAAAAATAGACGAACTAAACGCGTTTTCAAAATTCTCATTTTTCTTGGAAAATTTTTCCGAAAAACGGCCAATTTTTCCGCAACTAAACGCACCCTTAGTTATTTTTAGCTTTTTAACGCAAAGTCATTTTCTGCTAACCAAAAGGATTCATCGTATGCGTATTAAACCTTAAAATGACCAATGATATTAAAAAATTCTGAAAAAAAAAAAATTGAAACTGTATTTTCTACCTACAACACAAGGACCATTTGTGTAATTTTGTCCAAAAACTTATTATATAACACAACACATGTATGATGTATGTTGCCTTTTGAAAACGTGGAAGGTGCAAAAACTAAGCAAGCATAAAAAGGGGCGTCTCAACTTTCAAGATTTCATTTTTCGTCTTCTTCCATTTTCATCTGCGAAGCCGAAGAATTCTGAATCCCTTTAGAACACCCAATCACCCCCTTGATTTTATCTATGCAAACAAAACAATCAATCACAGAAACACACACAAACCAGAAATTCGCACTCTGAATCAACGACATGTAAAATTGCGTTGCTTAACTGGCCTCTCATTGCATCTTCATCTCCGTCAACCTTCACTTTTTCCTTGTAATAAACCCTTTGATCTGCCTAGGTTTTATCGTCATTTCCACTAAAGAATCCATCGCTTCGGGGTATAAATAATGTAAGATCTCTCTTTTTAAAATACCCGCGTTTTAAACCAGTTATTTGATTTCTCTGCCCTTTTTCTGCTTTATTTGGTATACGATTTGAATCGTTTGAGTTTAATTTGACTTCAGTAGTTCAGTTTGTGTGATACCCATTTGCTAGAATTTGGTTTTGATTATTACATTAATGCAATGACATTTGTCTATGCGAACTTGTAATTAGATCTGAACATAGACCTCTTATTTCAATTACTCAGTTGTTCGCATATTGATTTTACATCTCCAACTCGACATTTATCAATTTCAATTGTTCATATGTATATTATTGCGATTTTGTTAGCGACAGTGTTCAAATTCTATCTATTGTGATCACTTTGACTTAATTTCCAAAAAAAATTGGAATCAGAATTACGGTTTTCAAAATCTTATGTCAAACAGGTCATTTCTTGATTCATATTTGTACAAATCTCGAACATTTCTGGATGCAATGATATAAGTTAAAACCGAGTAATGAAGTCACAACCTTTGTGCAAAAAGTGATTTTGATTATTTAGTCCACTTTAAATAAGCTGTTATAAATTGCATATATATATATAAGCTTAATCATGATATCATTTACATTATTAATTTGAATATGTTAACTTTGATAACTTACCACTTGAAATTTATACGTGTTCTTATTTAATTTTCAGAATGGCTGCAACAGCATTTAACGGATGTATTAGTACTATCAAGTCTCATGGGCATAAGAGTAATTTCGCCCTTGATCAAGAATGTGGAAATAGTTCTCTTCGTTTGACCTCAAAAGGTTTTAAGATCAATCTTGAAGTATCTGGAAAAGAACGTTACTGCTTTAGAAAGAGGGGCTTTTCTGTAATTCAAGCATCTTCTTCTTCTTCTCAAACTACAGTATTAGACCAAGTTTCAACCCCATTAAACAACAAAGTGGATACCCCTAAGAAATCAAGTATGGTATTTCCTTTACTTATGTTTCTTATTGACTTAATAGACTTATAATCTGTTGAATATGTTGAGAAATATTGATTTACTTTGACAGACGGGTAAAACAGTCATTTAATTTCATTCAGTCATATAATTTACTTTTGACAGAGGGGTAAAATGGTAATTTACTTTCATTTATTCGGTTCAAAAAAAGAAACAATCTTTGTTCATACAAACATCATTTAACCATACAACACTAATACAGAAAAAAGAAACATGCCCTTAATCTATAAGTTGTATATGAGTGTTTCTTGCTTACTTAAGTTAATACATAAAGTAAGACTTAACAAAAAAAAATGAGGAAAAGTAGACTTTCCCTATAAAGTCCTAAACTTTTTTTTTTTTTTTGCAAATTTACTTTTTTTTTGTTTTATCCTTCCATTGTCCCGAAGTTTGCATCATTTTCTAGATATTTTAAAACATTATTTACCCACACAACATCCCTCATTCGACAACACTATTCGTTGCAAAAAGGATTATATATATATATATATATATATATATATATATATATATATATATATATATATATATATATATATATATATATATATTTGTGAAAATACCAAAAAAACAATTAATTTAAGGATGAAATTTTTTTTAGGTGAAGCGGCATTGATATTGATTAGACATGGTGAGTCTCTATGGAACGAAAAGAATTTATTCACGGGTTGTGTTGATGTGCCATTGACAAAAAAAGGAGTGGAAGAAGCAGTTGAAGCCGGTAAAAGAATAAGCAATATACCCGTCGACATGATTTATACATCCGCACTTATTCGTGCACAAATGACTGCCATGCTTGCCATGACTCAACATCGCCGCAAAAAGGTATCCACTGTCAGTCTGTCACTATCACTGTCAGTCTGTCACTGTCACTGTCATCTGATTTTATAAAAGATCTATTGTCGTTGTCGTTGTCGTTGTCATTGTCATTGTCACTGTCTGTATCATATGATTTAATAAAAGATCTGCTTTCTTGACCGCTTTGTAGGTACCTATTGTCTTGCATAACATATGATACAATAAAAGATCTGCTTTCTTGACCGCTTTGTAGGTACCTATTGTCTTGCATAACGAAAGTGAACAAGCAAAGTCTTGGAGTCAAATTTTTAGTGAAGAAACCAAAAAGCAATGTATCCCGGTTGTTACGGCGTGGCAACTTAACGAACGAATGTAAGAATTATTTTACTTTGTTTATTTTTTTTAATAATTTTCATGTGTTATATTTGCAAGAATACCCGGATTTCAAAATTTTAAATTTTTAAGCAACTTTTTATTTTCTTGGTGTTTAGGTATGGGGAATTACAAGGACTAAATAAGCAAGAAACTGCTGATAAATATGGAAAAGAACAAGTTCATGAATGGAGAAGAAGTTTTGACATCCCTCCACCAAATGGTGAAAGTTTAGAAATGTGTGCAGAAAGAGCCGTTGCATACTTCAAAGAACACGTAAAAAGATTATATAATTTTATTTCGTACTTTGTATTCTTTAAAATAAAATCTTTTATTGTAACAAGTTACAAAAAGAAAAAACATTATACTTTTACAAGTTTTGTCGTTTAACCACTAATACTCTAATCTTTTCCAATCAAACCATAAAAGTTCAACATTTTTTATAAATTAGTCATTGATCGATAATCATACACACATAATATTGTAAAAAAAATTAATTCCAAATGGGGAATTTTTCAGATTGAACCACAACTACAAGCTGGAAAGAATGTAATGATTGCTGCACATGGGAATTCCTTGAGATCCATCATAATGTATCTTGACAAATTAACTTCTCAAGAGGTGCGTTTTTTTTTTTTTTTTTTTTTGTTACATGGTTTTGTGTCGTTCTTGTTTTTAAGTTTAATATCTGGTTTCTTGATCCATAAAAAGATTGAATAATTAAATAATTGTCGCATATTGTTTTAGGTTATAAGTTTAGAACTTTCTACGGGTATACCAATGCTTTATATTGTTAAAGAGGAAAAATATATTAGAAGAGGAAGTCCAGCTGCTCCAAGTGAGGCAAGCGTTTATGCGTATACCAAGGTGAATTATATTACTTTGACTTTATTTGTTAAACAACTTATTTTAATAATGAATTTTTATAATATAACTTGTTACGCAAGAAAAGCGTTTGATAATTAACGCAAAAAGGTAAAATGATATAAGTAAGATACGGTTTTATGTATTGTTCCTTGATACAAAACCAAGTAATACAGAAAAATGATTTTTTTAAACGTTCAAAAAAAGAATAATTGATTATTCACTTCAGAAAACATTTAAGTTGCTAAATCGATTAATATTTTGGGCATTTATTTGACATGGGCTTGGGTCTTTATTGTAGAATTTGGCTCGATACAGACAGAAGTTAGATGAGATGGTTCATTGATGATTCAGCATGTTATAAAGTCATGTTCATGAAACTATCTCCATTTTTATATCTATTTCGCATTTTCATTTTGTGGGACCCATCGTAATAGGACAATATATGTAATGGTGTTCAGTGTTCTAGATTTTTAGTGTACTTTTTTTTTTGTTATTTTTAGGATGCAAGATTGTATAGAATGTGGTAGAAAGTGGAAAATAATGTATGGGCTCCAATATCTATGCTTCTATTTTGCTTTTTTGTGTCTTTGTATTTTGTCTAAGATTTTCTTTTTTCTACGTTGAAAAGGAAATGTATCCCAAAAAACCAATGAACTTAAACGGAGGTTTCTTGTCTCTAAGCCAATTGTATTTTTTTTTTATATAAAGAGGGTAAATCCACATTTGCTAACTTTTTATAAAGCAAGATGATTGGACAAGATTTTCAAGGTAGTTTCTTTGTTTGTGCTACATGGATGCAAACAAGATCATAAAATAATGCCTCATTATCACTCTTAAATCATAATTTGATTAAGCAAAACCTCATTTCTTTAATTTTCAATATTTTGAAAATCAAATGGAGATGATAAACAATTGCACTGATTATAAAGGGTTATCTACAAAAAAGTCTCAAATTTCTTTTAAAAGTTTCAATAAAATCCTAAAAGTTTTTTTTTGAACAGAAAAGTCTCAATATTTTGATGTATTGCCTAAATTAACGAAAAAATCATTTTTTATATTTGAACAGCAAATGATAGATTATATGATTTTTTTCAAAATATTGGAACTTTTTCTATTCAAAAACTTTTTTTTTAAGATTTTATTGAAATTTTTGAAAAAAATTTGAAACTGTTATGTAGATAACCCAATTATATATCATCAAAATACATCACAAAGTTCAAAACTCATTATTTTCTTATCATTTTCATTATTCTAAAATTCAAATTGCGTTAATCGTTTGTAAATAAGAACAAGTTGCTCTAAACACATATAAAAGCATTGCATAGATTTAACATGATTCTTCAAGACCTTCTTCTTCTTTCTTGAAAAGGTCAAAAACCTAAAAAAAACTAAAATCTCTAAAATACTTAACCCATTAAAAAGTCAAACCAAGTCCAATTCCATTCAAGTCAGAAAGTCAAACCAAATCCAATTTTATTCAAGACGTTCCTTTCTTACTATTGGAATCCGAATCGACATTCATTTTTCTCCACCATGAAGAGCAATCCTCTTCGCATCATCTTCTATCATCTTCTCCGCATATTTCTTAATATCAAAATATTCTTCATCTTTTCCCCCAAATGCCGACTCAAGTTCATCCATGCAAAACAAATTGTCCATAATGCCCTTCGTATTTGGATCATCCGCATAAACGAATTTCACTTTGTTTGCTGTCTTCGGCTCTAGGAAAGGTTTTACCATCTGCAATTCCACATTTTGAAAGTATTATTAATTATGTATCTTTTTCATTTCTTTTATTAAAAAAAAAAAGGTGTAGTAGAAATAGAATAGATGTTAAATTAAGCATGCATACCTTATAAAAAGGTTCAAAGAATTTGGGTGGATTATATAGAATTGCTAACCCGAGCCTCTCTGGATATTGATTTTGTAAGATATTTGCGGTTTCCTTTGTTGAATTTATTGATATGTTTGACAAATTAAATCCATGAAAATCAATCAACCAAATCATTTGTTCTTGATCCGAAGGCAAATTTTGTATCGCGTTCTCCATGCAATACACCAAATACTTTATTTGCGATTTTGTTGACTTCGAATTCTGTGGTTAAAAAGTTCGTGTATGAACACTATAGAATAAAACAAAACTCGACTTGAAAAGAAAAAACATTTTTCCTATTTTACCATATAACACCCTCAAGGTTTCTAATAAAGTAATGATTTGACCTCTAAAGTTAAAATATATATTTTTTTACCTGGAATTTAGGCCTCATAACAAGAACTACCCTCCCTTTTTTATCCGTAAAACTCGACCTGTAAATTTTCCCGGTTTCAGCCTCGGCAGCAACATGTTCCTGAATCGAATCAAATGCTTACTGTAACATGTGACTTTTGACTGTTATCGTGACTTGTGATTTTTAATGTAACAACTAACATGTGACTTTTGATTTTTACGTTTGTTGTTGTGCCTTGTGAACTGTTATTTTGTTAATGTGACATGTGACTATTGTAATTTTTTTTGTGACTTGTGACCTGTTAAATGTGACATGTGTCCTGTGAGTATGTGGTGTATAAAAAGGTGGATTTTTTTTTTTTTTTTTAATGAAAACTTACCCAACGAATCTCTTCGGGTTTATAATTCATTCGCCAAATCAAGGAACTTTCGAGCATTTTTACAGCCTTCTTAACGTTCCAATTTCGTGCTCTTAGATATCTTGATATCGATTCATCGGAACAAAAACGAGAAAACTCATCTGGACGATGTTGTTTGATCTTCTCGAGTGATTTCTGTTTCTTGATCGTGTCACGGACCTCAATGATCTGAAAATTAAAATAAACGCGATTTATGTTAATTTTGATTATGTGAAACAAATCTGAAAGTTTTTAATACGAACCATTTTCTGTTCATCTTCTGGCGTCAACGCGACATTTGAGTTTGACTTCTTTGGTTGCAGATTCATAGCTCGATTGGAGATCCTGCAAAAAAATTTTATCAAAACTTCAATCAACGATCAAACGTTTACCGATAATTCAAATTGAAGAAATTTGGGGTGATCAGAAATCAAGATAAGATTAAATACAAAAAGTCAACTTCATTCATGTCGTTTACAGTTAAAATTTCAAACACCAAATTAGCCAATTCAACAGATTTTTACACAAATTCAAACACCCACTTCAGTAAAGTCAATCAAATACAGACTCGATTACAATTGAATCGAAGGTAAAAGCGTTTACCTTGTTGCTCTGGAATCTGGGGTTGTGAAGACGATATGAACAGGAAGTTTGCAGGGATCTGGAGAACCAACAAATTAAAAACAATTAAAGGGAGAAATCGATGTGTTATAGTGTTATTATATGTTTCTTCTTGGGGATTATTGGAGGATCCAATGTGGTGGGAGTGGTTGAAGAAGAACAATTGGGTGATGATCATGATTTGATGAGTTTAGAAGTAGAAAACTTCCACACATTTGGAAACACGTAATGGTGTTGAATCCGACAAAGATAAACAATACATCCAAATAGTCTATTATGAAATGACAGAAATGATAAATCTTTGGGCCCTATTGATCGATAATTTCTTTTTATTTATGGTATTTTTTAGTAGCAAAGTTTTCTTATTATAGAAATCGATTTTCAAATGTGCTGTAATTTTTTTTAAGAGTAAATTACGCGAATGGTCCCTGTGGTTTAGTGTAAATTACAAGCTTGGTCCCTAACTTATTTTTCTAACTCGGACTATCCTCAACTTTTAATTATGTAACCCGCCTAGTCCCTATTCTCACATTCCGTCAATTGTTTCCGTTAGACACCCCACGTGCCTTGCACGTTGGGGGTATAAAAGTCTTTTCACATATCCAATGTTATACCGCCAAGAAAAAAAAGGACGTATCGTTGATCAACGTGATCAGACACAAGCTTCACAGACAAAACCTTTGAAAACCCTTTGAAAACCCTTTGAAAACCCTTGAAAACCCTTGATCGAAAGAACCCTACATTTGAAAACGACGATGGCGCCTTGGAGGATACGTGCTACCATGGACGAGATTGACGTTGCTCGTAGATATGGTAAGTGTTTACTCCCTCAATCAGTTAGTAACTTAAAAAGAAAAATGTGACTAACCAATCTTTCCGTGAATATACAGCTGGACATCCGACGATATTCTCTGTCCGATTACACCATGGTGGACAGTTTACAAAGTTCCCTGGAAGAAAGTACATCAAAGGCAAGCAAAATTATGTTGATTTACTAGACATTGACACCTTTTCCATTCACGACATTGACGAGATGATGGAGGAACTTGGGCATATTGATTCAGACGAAACACTACTCTATTATCATTTCCTGAGACCATTTGGCGATTTGGATTTTGGGTTATTTGCTTTGGGTTCAGATCAGGATGTTCATCATCTGGGTACGTATGTTGCTAACCATAAGGTAATAGATGTATATATTGAGCATGGGAAAACAAATTTACATACTTATTCTATGTCCCCCAACCCTAGTAAGGTTAAAATTGTTGAAATTAAAAAGCCACCAGCTTGCTCCAAACAGTTGTTCTTGGAGTGGAATGACTCTCCAATTGAGCATGAGAGTGTTCCAGACCTAACAGAAGTTGAGAATGATAGTCATTTGGACAAAGAACCATCTTTGGTCGACCATATTGAATTTGAAATGAATGTAGAGAATGAGGATGATTATGATGGTAGTGGACACAACAATGGCAGTGGAAATGATGAATTTGATGATGATAGTGAGAGTGAAGATAGTGATTTTTTTATTGATGAGGACAATCTCATACACGATGTTGATGTGGATATGAAAGATTTCCATATGAACATTGACAAGGATGTAGAATGGGTTGGAGGTTCTTCTGAAAGTAATGTACCTGAAGATACACAACAAGGTGACTTAGAAGTGATCAACACAGAGGTTTTGTTGTCTGGGTCTTCATCAGATGAGGCAAATGATGGTAAGCGAAGGAAAACTATTAGGGCCATACATAGGGCTTATGAAAATGATGCATCTTTGGTTAGTGAGCCCTTCTACATTTTTCAAACTTTCAGTTCATCTAAGGACTTTAAGACACAAGTGAAACTACATTCCATAAGGACAAGAAGGGAAATACAATTAGAGAAAAATGATAAGAATAGGGTTAGGTTTGTGTGTAAGGGCACTATACCAAATCTTGCTACTAATGAAGAAGAGAAATGCCCATGGGTTATATATTGTAGTAAGTGGAAGCGTGACATAGATTGGATGGTTAAGACATACACGAAGGAGCATCGATGTCTACAAACAAGGAAAGTCAAAGCATGTGACTATAAGTTCCTTTCAGAGCATATAGTACAAGTTATTGAGACAAACCCAAAGATTCCTATTAGGGCTTTACGAGAGCAACTCCAACGTGAGTACCAGATGGACATTTCGCATATGAAAACTTTTAGGGCAAAGCAGCAAGCTTTAAAGCATGTTCAAGGATATTATGCCAGCCAATACAGGTTGTTAAGGGATTATGTTTTAGAGGTACAAGCACGTAACCCAGATACTACGGTTAAAATTGATGTTGAAAGTGAAGCGAATCCAACTGTTGAGACAAGAACATTCAGGCGTATCTATGTTTGCATTGGAGCTTTGAAGCGAGGTTTTGCAGCGGGAAGAAGGGACTTTCTTGGACTTGATGGAGCCTTCGTGAAAGGTCCATATCCAGGCCAAGTTTTGTCTGCTGTGGTAAGATCTTCTTATTTCTTTTTGTATTGTATGTTCTTTATTTTAATTAGTGTTAACTGACCAATGTTTTCTGGTAATTTATGTTTCTTATCAAAGGCATTGGATGGTAATAATGGGATATATCCTTTAGCCTATGCTGTGGTTGAATCAGAAACATTGAATTCTTGGACTTGGTTTTTAAGTAATTTGGGTGATGACTTAGGTTTGGGAACAAATTCCAATTTCACGTTTATGAGTGACAGGCAAAAGGTATTGGAACCTATCCAAACTAGGTTTTATAGTTTTATACTATTGATGCAGTTATACTAACATACAAACATGTTACTATTGTTAGGGTTTGTTGCCTGCGATTGCAACACTATTTCCATGTGCAGAGCATCGCTATTGTCTTCGTCACATACACGACAACATGAAAAAGAACTGGAAGGGAAAGGTGTTCAAGGATCTTCTTTGGGAATGTGCCACGACCTCTAATGTACAACACTTTCATCAAGCAATGGAAAAACTAAAGAAGCTTAACAATGATGCTTATGAGTGGCTGAAACAAATACCTCCTCAAAGTTGGGCTCGCTCCCACTTTACTGGTATAATGACTTTCGATCTCTACTTAATAATTTTAAAAGAAGGTAAATTGAATACTGACTCCTACAGCTACAATAATATTGGATAACATAAAGAGTAAGGCAGAACAGTATGTTGCAACATTTTGTGGTGCTGGAAAATATCAAGTTGCTGGACCATGGCAAGATCAGTGTATTGTGGATGTAGGTCAACAAAGTTGTACGTGCAAAAGGTGGGAATTAACAGGAATTCCGTGCAAACATGGTGTGGCTGCTATTTGGGACATGGGGAGGAATGACAAAGATGTGGGAATCCCAGAATCATTTGTGCATCCATGTTACTGGTTATCAAGCTGGAAAGAGATGTATTCTTTTAAGGTTAGTCCAATCAATGGAAGGTCCATGTGGGAGAAGTCAGCTATACCAACAACTCTGTTGCCTCCAAAAAATCGTGTTCCCATAGGAAGACCAAAGAAGAAGAGAACAATATCAATTGTGGAAAAGGAGGACTTTGTTAGAGGAAACACAGCATCAAGGGCCCATAGATCAGTAACATGTACGAAGTGTAACAATGTTGGTCACAATGCAAGAACCTGCAAAGGGCAAAGACCAATTGTTGGTGGGGGTGGTGGACAATCACAAGTAAAAGGAAAAGGGAAAGGGAAGGCAACCACTTGATGGTTTGTAATAGGGCTAGTCTTTTGTTACTTTAAATATGAATGGATTGTGTTATGTTGTTGCTTGTAATAGGGCTAATATTTTGGTACATTATTTACTCTAGTTTGTAATAGGGGCAGTATTTTGATACTTGTTTTAGCCAATATGTTGGCACTTTTGGATGAACTAGTTTGTCACCCTCATTGCCCAGTAATAGTTTGGTACTAATTAATGGAATGTTTTCTTCTTATGATACACCATTGGGTAGATAATAATTTGGTTTATATTGATTTTTACATTTATATTTTCCATAATAGTTTGGTACAAAATTAGATTGTTATATTCTTCTTATGATGTCACCCTTATTGCCCTGTTATAGTTTGGTACTAATTAATGGTCAATATGTTGCTTATACATCACTTTAAAACATAATCAATACAACACTGCTACAACCATTACAGTACATTTGCATTACAATACATAGACAACCTAACCAATACATAACACCATTTTCATTGATCTTTAAAATCTTAACCATCTGCATTACAATACATAGACAACTTAACCATTATAGAAAAGGATACCTTCACATTCACTGCTACAACCTAACCATTATAGATAATGATACCATCACATACATTGCTACAACCTAACCATTACAGAAGACTTTACCATTACAATAACAACTCATCCCCACCTTACAACTTGTAAACAAGTATCACCAAGAACAATACCCAACTAATAAATAAACATATTTTCAAGAAAAGATTTTCATTTTTCAGCTTCTTGTTCAACCTCACAAGCCAGGAGATTGTCAATCTGTCACCATGATCCTTTTCATCATCATCTACCCAAGCAATAAATCCTTTACGTGGTTCCTGTCAATTTCAAAAGCCACGGTTACAATACCTATAATCGCATACAGTGATATCCCCATCTAGGGTTACGATTACAAAATTCTCAACTACAACATACCTTAATTGGACATGCGTAAAAGGGTCTTCCTGGATTATTGTTAGTAGTTGAAGTTCGAATTACAGCAGCACGCCCACAATCGCATTGAACCATCCTTGATTTGAAGGAGATTAGGTGTAACCGCTTCAAACGATGGAGGATTGAAAGAAACTACTCTAAATTAGGTTCGATCCTGATGAAAAATTAGTATTTGAAGATCGTTGGAAATGTGAAAAGACTTTTATACCCCCAACGTGCAAGGCACGTGGGGTGTCTAACGGAAACAATTGACGGAATGTGAGAATAGGGACTAGGCGGGTTACATAATTAAAAGTTGAGGATAGTCCGAGTTAGAAAAATAAGTTAGGGACCAAGCTTGTAATTTACACTAAACCACAGGGACCATTCGCGTAATTTACTCTTTTTTTAATTAACTAAAATTGCATATAAATTTGTTGTTTTTTTTTAATGATTCGAATCAATTTCATAAAATGCAATGGAGAAACTTGGGCTTTTGTGTGTGTAATGGTTATATTGTATAGCAAGTTCTTGATAATCAATTTTCATTACAAGAAACTTTTATCTGGTTTTTCAAATTGTTTTAATATCATACATATGTAATGAATTATTTTGTTTTTGCACAAAGCATCATTCTTTTTAAAAGAGATATTATCAAAAAAAAATTAAACAATTGGAACTTTGTATCCACAACAAATCATTATTTCAATGACATTTTTGCAAGAAAACTAAATAATTTGTTACATAAAGTTTCATTCTATAACCAAATATGCACTGTTGTAGTTAATTAACATGTTCAGTGTATCAATCTATGTCGTGTTGTAGCTAACATGTTAAGTATTATGTGTAGGGATTACATTAGCCTGGTTAAAGACCCGATTAAAAAAAAAAAATAAGAAGGGGATTTTGTTTTGACATGATGTTGTTAGAATAAAAGATTGTGAACAATAGCATTCTAGTGTATTGTAGATTCTTATGTTAAAGATGTTGGAAGAAGTGGATCATTACTTTAGTAATAGTTTTTCTAATTATATTGAGATATATATGATTGTTTATGTTGTTACAGAACGTTTTTGTAAACCAAATACATAACCATGTTTTAGTCTATGACCAAAACATGTAAGTGTTGTTTACATGTTCACGCGATTATAATATGATTGTATAATTCATTTTAAAAATTACTATATTGTATATATTTCTAAAAGTGTGAAACAACTGCATAAACCCATTTTCATTTTATTTTTTCAAATTTTTTTATTAGTCCTTTGACCACTTTGGACAAGAACAAGATATAGGCAAACAGCCTATTTTTTAGATAAATGAGTGAAAATTAACATTAATAAAGTAATTTTTTTCAAAATATAAAGTTGTAATACTACGTAAAATTATTTTTCATAAAAAAAAACAATATAACTAACGGTAAATACTTAATTTATGAAATATGGTTGTAACATTCTAGTCAGATATCAATTTGTCATTTAAATTGATAAAAACTGACATTTTATTGCATACATAAATATTTAACTAATATACCATTGTTAAAAAAGCGGGTTCTGTTTATCCCATTTTGTTGGATGAATTGAAATATGGTCACATTATATTTATATATTAAATTTGAAAAAAAGAAAGAACAAAAACAAAAAGATGGGAGCAGGTTAGTGATCGGTCCATCCCAACTACAAATGGGAAAGGGAATAGGTGGTTCATGAGTGGAGGTCCTTGAGGAATGACTAATGAGGAGATAAGGATTAGTAGTCAGTTTAACAAATAGAGTAAGTTGCAATAAATAGGGAGGAAATCTTTGACTATGTTTATAAAAATTAAATTGAAAGATTTTATTCTGTTTAAATAAACCATCTCTATTACCTACTACCTATTAATTTATTAATTTATTAAGGGTCCTATTAAATATATTTTGTTAGTTTTTTTGAATAGCAAAGCAAGATTTTGAAAAATTTTAGGTGCTTCCTTTTGAAAACTTTTAGGTATTTTTAGTTTCTAACTTTTAAGAAAAATATGGAATTAAATAAAAAAAATTATACGTCTTCTAGTTTTTACTTTAGGATTTCATACCCTAGAAGAAATTATATTTTGATTTTTAATCCGTTTTAAACCCAAACTTTTATTTTTCTAAAAAAACATCATTTTTTATCTATTACTTGTTATTTCAGCTATGGAACCGTTACCAGGTAAATTGGGTTTATTCCATAAAATATCTTACATTTTGTATTTTTTTTCATTTTAGACTTAAAACTCATATATATATATATATATATATATATATATATATATATATATATATATATATATATATATATATATATATATATATATATATATATATATATATATATATATATTCAAAATAAACTCAGCTTTAACATATTCCTTATTATTTTATTAATAGTGTTGGTTACCAACAAATAACCCTATACCCCTAGCTCACAAGTTTCCTAAGTATAGATCACCTGAAAGAATAAGTGATTTTAAAACTCTAGGTCATGTTTCTGCTTATTCTTCTAGTACGTCATATTGCCCCTAAAATGGTTTTCTTCTTCAAGCATTAGGAACATAAACATAGTTTGGAATGTTAAAATGGAATTATGTTATTGTGAGGATGAATCCCTTTTATTTACCTTTAAGCCCATTTTGTCTCAAGTATTTATCAATATTTTACAAGAGTACTAGATTTGTTTGGCACTCTATTGATGAAGGGTCTCATACATAAGCTATTTTTTTACCTTTGTAACATCCAACATGAAATAACATCTCTTTAGCACTATATGGATTGAGGGTCTCATATATTAGCTTCACATGAACTACGAGGAGATCTGTGATAGTGATTGGAATGTCTAATTAAAAAATTCTCTTAAACATATTCATTCAAGCATAAGGAACAACCAATATCCATGATTGTCTTACGGTGCTAACAGTGTCGTTGGTGGTCTCTTAGGCCTCATGATAAGTGTGGTTAAATTTAGTACTCACTGTAAAACATTGATATGGAATGAAAATAAATTTATCTATCCACTTTATGAAATGTTGATAAATGCTTAAGACAAAATGGCCTTTGAGGTAAAAATAGTAATTTATTTGCAACATTATCTTAGTACAATGTTAAAACAAACATACAATTAGACCTTGTAAAAATAGCCTCGAGATAACCTTTGAAAATAGACTTAATCTTGTGAAAAAAAAAAAAAAAAAAAAAAAAAAAAACCTTTGAAGGCATATAAATAGAGGAATCTTCCTCACTATAGCAAAGTTCCATTATTCTAAACTAAGTTTATGTTTCTAGGCTCGAAGAAAAAGTTATTTCAAGGGATCCAATCTGGTGTAGAAGAAGAAAAAAAAACAAAAATATGACTTAAGGTATTGAAATCAGTTATTCTTTTAGGTGATTGATGCTTAAAATACTCGTGAGTTATAGGGTATAGGATAACCTGTCAGTAACTAAATCCATTAGCCCAGCGGTATCCGGTGTGCCCTCCCTACTTGAGGTTGAGGGTTCAAGTCCCGTCGTGGACATAGGTGGATTTAAGGTGTAGTTTAGGAGTAGGTTAGATTTGTTGTTTCAAAAAAAAAAAAAAAAAAAAAAAAACTAAATCCATTAGTGAAATAACAAAGAATAGATTAAATTTGGGATTATTTTGAAAAACAAATATTAGGTCTAAATAGAAAAAAAAATGTAAAATATAAGGTTTTTATAGAATAAACTCAATTTACTTGTTGGTAACCACTTCCATAGTTGAAATAACATTTAATCAAAACCCATAATCGAAAAAAGATTAAACTAATCGGGAGGGGATTTTTTATTTTTTAAACATCGTGAAATGTGATTCCTTCTCCAAAATTAATTTTCATTACACGGGAAAGATATGTTTTTTTAGATGAAATGAAATACTTTTATCTATATAATATACTTAAAATTAAATTATTATTCTATTTTCTAAATATATTTTAAATGCATTCATATTTTAAAATTTAACGGTATATTAATTTTTATATTTATAAACAACCGTCCAAATGATAAATAAATATTTTTGACTATTAGAAATAAACATTTTTATAACGAGATAAAAAATGTTTATATGAGATATATTAAACAATTCATAATAATTTTCAATTCTTCCAAACCGACCAAATATTACACAAACAAATATAAAACTCATTTCATGAACTTGTTTGTTCCGCTCTTCTAATTTTTCATTCCTGTCATACCAAAAAATACATGCACTCATTAAAACACCTAAATACGAGTGTCTTTTAAAGCATATAATTCATCTATGTAACTAAACCAATGAAATAAAAACAAGTTTGTCAATAACTTTCACTTGATCAAGATCAACACCACCATTTCTATACAAAATCTTTATACCACAATTCCCCAAGATGCTAATTCAACTACATCTTTAGTATTTTCTATAAAACCCCAAAAGAAAAAAAATAAATAAACAAAAAAACTACCATCAAATGCCCCATCAAAACATAAAAACGTGTCCCCTTTCAAAATCTTTCAACTAACACAATTTTTCCAACCATGACTCCCCTTGGTGGATCAAGTGTCGCCAAATCAGATACACCTATGTCAAATTGACGTTTTTGCCCTTTTAAGCAATTTCAAGGTATATATATATATATATATATATTTTACCAAAGAACCTCCCCCCGCTAGACAATATCTTTGTACAGTGACAATTTTGGGTTGGGTCCCACAGTAAGTATCTGAAAAAAAAAAAAACCTTGGACAAACATGGTATCATTGGTCTCTTTTTCCCAATACCCCAGCTTGATTCGGTCTCTTGTGGGCCCCATATTGCTGCCATGAATCTCGAGGCCAATCATGGTTGTCCTCCAATGGTGGTTTATTAAAAGGCCGATAACTACTACCATTTCTTGATGAATTTGAGTTTGAGTTTGTTTTACTTTCATCTCCTGATGGTGTTCCCATATGTTCAAATGGTCTGTTTCTAAAATTAGGCCTCATGAAGCCTCTCGAATTAGAAAACTTAGGTGGCGGTGGACCATAGGCCGGCAGCGGTGGTGGTAGTGGTGGTGCCGCCAGGAAGTCTTTCGGAAGCGAATCCATGTCCATGTAACACTTTCTCGCCTTCGCATCCGCAATTAAAGCCGCCCAATCTTCTGATTGAACAAGCGCACTCGCATTCCCCATCACCTAAAAAAAAACAAATTAGATTATTTATTTATTCGAAGAAAAAAAAAAAAAAAAAAAACGTTTAATTCCAAAAGGGTAAGAACCAAAATTTATACCCAAAGTGCCCTTTTGGCGCGTGTAAGAGCCACATTCATCCTTCTAATATCCGCAACAAATCCAACACCATAACTCGAAGCCCTCACACACGACATAATAATCACATCGCGTTCTTGCCCTTGAAACGCATCAACCGTATTTATATAAATATCCTTCCCTTCATCACTCCTCAACACCTCCTCAAACTCCCTTTGTATACACTTCAACTGCAACTTATACGGCGTAATCACCCCCACCGTAACCTTCCCTACACCCCCACCACCAACCACCTTCATCAACCGCTCATATAACCTAACGCAAAACTTCGCCTCGTGAACATTCTGATACGAAACCGACCCTCCCCTATGCGATTCCCTCCCATGGGTAACATCGTAAAACACATACGGCCTCAACAAAGGGTCGTTATAGTAATTTTCATCCGGTTGACTTTTTACACTCTCGCTATCGGTCAACCGCCCTTGGTAAAAATACCGCGATGGGAAATCGCGTATTTGCGGATGCATACGGTATTGAACCGACAAGAGAATCGTCGGACACCCCGCTTGTTGAAACCGCTCGAAAAGACTCCGCGAATACAACAACGTCCCCGCCGCCTTACTTATCACCGTCGCCGGAAGCTGCTGCGGGTCTCCGACGAGAACACACCTAGCGGCACCGAGCGAAAGCGGCGGCAACACCCCGACTTCGCTCGCCTGAGCCGCCTCGTCAATCACCACCATATCAAACCCGTGCGTCAACCTAGAGAACAGTTTCCTCCCGCTACTTGAAACTGTTGTGAACACAATCTCCGCCTCGTTGGCGAAACTCGCTTCCAAACTGGCACGCGCTTCTTCGAGGTTAAAGTTTCCGGAATGAAACCGCGGTTCGAGAATCAACAACCGCGACATTTCAACCAAAACCTTATCGCGGTTTTCAACAACCGCGGCGAGGTTTTGTAGAAACGAATCGCGGGTTTGGTCGCGGGCGGTTAAGATATCCGGGTCGACGCCCACGGATCCTTCGGCCCGACCCGTGTACGCTTGGAGATTCAACTGGCGTTGCAACGACGCGATTTGTTGCGACAACTGCGCTTCGCGGGCCCGCAGTTGGTTGATCCAACCGTAGACTTCGTCTCTGCTTTTCATTAGAAGTTGTTCGGTCCGACGTTCCACGGAAACCGCCTGCGCCGCGCGCGTATTCGAATCTACCCCTACGCGGGCCACGTCGGGGCGATACATTTTCATTTCGCCGTCGATGAAGCCGCGTTCGAGGACACGTGTCAGGAGCTCATCGGTTGCGGCGTTGGAAGGGGCGCAGACTAGCATGCGTGGTTTGGGGCAGATTTTGTGAAGTGTTCGAAATAGGTTTTGGTCCATGTTTTGAAGGACTTGGTCGATGGATCCGGTAGGGGCGTTTTCGGAAGATAAAGATTCGGTGGCTTGTTTGTAGCTTTCGGGGGTGAGTTTTTTTAGGAGAGCGGTGTAGTAGTGTTGGTATTGGACGAGGTGGATGACGTTTAGCATGCCCCATACGGTGTGGGTTTTACCGGTTCCTGGTGGGCCCTGGACTAGGGTGAAGGGCCATGGGTCTTGTCTTTTTGTTGAAGTGTTTGTTGTTCCTGCTGCTGTGTGCATTGCTGCCCAGTGGATTGCGGATAATTGAGGCTGGTTGAATGTGTGATGAAGATAGTCAACAAAGTTTGTTGTGAAACATTCGGGCATTGATGGTGCTTGTTCTTCGTATTTTGGGAATTGCTCTGGGCTTGGTTGGAGAATCGCTGTTTGCATCTGTATTAAAATAATTAATCGTAAGGAAAATTTAAAAAAAAAAATAAAAGTGTAATTAAAACCAACCTGTGAATTTAGTCTACGAAAAGCATGTAACGCGATATATTCTCTTTGGGTTGTAGCAAGAGCACCAAGAATGGTTAAAAACCAGACTCCTTTAGGGTGTAGTTTCTTTAATATATGGTCATCGTCGCTGTAATTTTTAAAAAAAAAAAGATTATGAGTAAAGTACTTTTTAAAAATATGAATTTTTTAATAATAAAAAAAAGGAAAACCTGTTGGAATCGAAAGAATCGCCAACGTAAAAATGAAGGGTGGCCCCAGTGGGGTCGCGGGTATCGATTGGTATGTGACGCCTGACAGTGCCGGCTACACGTCCGATAACCTCGGACTCTTCCACGTTTGTTGGAATGTTGTTTCTCTTCAATCTGACTGCTTAAAAAAATGGGTTTTTTTTATTTAGTAGGTTTATGAATTAATTTTTATAGGTTAATGAAATTAAGCAAAACCTGTTCCGGGTTTTGGAGTTGAAAGAACTGCAACATCGCCCTCTTTGAAATTCCATCTGCATTCGTTTGTTGGTAGAAGGATAACATCATACCATCCTGTAACATCACATAAAGTTAATAAAACTTATATATTGTTAATATTTATAATTTTATTATTTATATATATAATGAAATGAAAATAATTAATAATTACCTCTTTCTCGCCTTTCGACGTTTTTGATGCGAACCATTGTATGTGAATCTCTAGATGAAGTTTCAGTTGATTCTTCCCATGTGCTGTAGAGTTGTGCACGACATTCTTCAAAGAGTAAAGGCTCAAAAACTCGAATATATTCTTCTACCGATTCAAAGCTTCCTGGGACCCGTTGAAGATCCGCATCCTCTGAATGGCCAAAAAGATTTTGAGATTTTTATTTTCATGTAAAATGAATAAACAATATGTCCACAAACAAAATGGGAATCTAATTGTTATAATGGTTATGAATAATAATACATTACTAGTGATTATAAAAAGTACGGATTTTTTTTTATTTTTTTAATTTCTTCGATTGAAGAGGCTCTGGTGAAAAGTGAACGCCCAATCACATGAAGCTGCAGGGATCCCCTTTTGCTATGCGTGGGCCTGGGCAATACAAACATTACCATTCATTCAATAACTAATACAACCACTTTTTTTTTTTTATATTGTGAATTGTATTTTATCAAATCCTGAATGGCAAATCGTATTGTAAGATTCACTACAGAATATTCTTTAAGGGACAAAAAAAGGGTACAAATTATTCTTTAAGGGACTGCAATGAAAAAAAATTAAATTCAAGGACCAAATCCGTAACTTTTACATAAAGTAAAAGGTGATTAAAAGGAAAAAAACACACACACACACACCTGGATGCTGCCAGAACTTGTCATTAGTCACCTCCCTTAGAAGACGCTCCACTGATGTATCCTGATAAAGTGTAGTGACAGTTGTTGGTTTTCTTGAAGGAAGCTTTTTAACGAGTGATTTGGAATCGTTTTGAGTGATTAAATTTAAAGGAGGTTTTTTTATAGGAATATGTGGATTCTTCATCTGTCTTGAATCATTAGGTTGCTTGAATGAACTCTGCCTATGAATATGATCTGAAAATAATTTATCTTTATCTTCTCCAGCAACATCTGTCCCACTATTTGTCCTTCTAGAACGAGTTACAGGTCCTGAACTCAAATCACTTTCATTACAATCAGATTTTGTATCACTAGACTCCACATGATTGTTATTACCCTCATTGCATGATTGATCAATCTGTTTTGCTTCTTTAATCGAGTCAAGAACAGGGCGTGACTCTTTCACAATACGTGTTACAATGGGTGGTTGAAAGTTGTGTTTTTTAGGGGTCAAGATTTTAATGGGTCCCGCTTGTTTAACATCTTCCATGTTTAGAAACATGGTTTGCCTACTACGCTTTTTACCTAGCATTGCTTCCTTTTGTTGATCAAGTTTAGGGCGTTTTCCAGGGTTAGTTGGAAGTGGAAGCTTTGAAGTATGGTTGTTATTTTCATTCTTGGAAGATATGCTTGATGAGAGTGTAGTTAGATTACAATCGTTTTGATCTGTGGATTCGGATTCAGTGGTTGCTTTTGTTTGTGATTTCTCATCATAGCCAGAAGTTGACATTTCAGGGATACTACTACTTGTTCTGTTGGTTTTAATGGAGGGGTCTTCTACATCAGACCATTCACCTTCTTCCTTTTCTAAAATGTTTTTAGCAGCTTCCTTCTTGTTGTCTTCACCTACTTCAGATGGTTGTTCTCTTTTTGACTGAATGAAAGGCTGAAAGCTCGAAACAGAGGAAACATGAGAAAAAGCACGGGTATTTACTGTTTTATGAGAACTACTTGATGCTGATGTTGATAATTTACAAGTGTTGATAGTAGAAGGGACTGTGTCACTCTCATCCTCAACAGCAGGTTCATTAAGATCAAACAATGGCTTTTCTCTAGAACCCATTTCTCATATACACAAATAGATCCACCTTTCACTAATGGAAAAACACCTCAAACCTTTGAATCTTTCAAATAAACGCAAACAAAATAGGTTCTGCAAGCAAATTAAAGGAAAAAAAAAAAAAGAACCTTCGATGAGATTAAGGTAAGGAAAACATAAATTTATGCAAGAATACGAGGCATGTACTATAAAACTTTACACCCTCAAACAGTAATACAGATGCATACAACAGCATGACAGTAATAAAAGTGCCATAAAACTTTATAAATAATAGAGCATTGTAAATGCCATAACCCTATAGACGGATGACCATATGAACAAATTTATATAAGTGAAATCAATACCTAGCTTGATTTATAAAACCCCAAATCAAAACAAGTTTGAGCTCCTAAGCCCTATGCCCCTATCACATTCATTTGGAGTAAACAGTATATCACAGCGTAAACAACCCTAGCACACTAAATTATCACATTATTGAACAATTGAATTAGATGCATAAAGACAATAATGATAGCACCTACTTCTAATAAATAGGGTAATTCATTTCAGTTGCCCCCGCCATAAAAAGAAAAACCTAAAATTGGAACAGGGACAGAAACAATTAAAAATATTTAGATCTGAGTTCTTAAAACCTAATCATCTTAGCGAGGGGGAGGCGTAATCGATGAAGGATTAAGTGATTAAAGCACAATTCTTGTGAATGTCAAGTTGATTAATCAACTAAGTAATACACAAATTCTATATAAGATTATGGAAAGATATACGCACCTGTTGTACGTACGAAATTGCTGATTCAAAGTCCGAAGATCAATAACAGTAGTGAGGGAGAAAGAAATGTGTATTTGGGAATCCAGACTGAAATTCTGTCTGTGAATCTGATGGATTGGGGAGAGCCCTGAATTAGGTTTTATAGGGCAAAGACGTTGGAACGGGTAGATTTTGGGGGGGTTTTGATAAGAGGATCCGACCCGAACCATATATATAATTTCACCAATCACCAATAAATATTCTTTTAATGCCCATATTTGACTAATGTTTAAACATGTTATAAAGCGAATGAAATTAATATTAAGTTGTTAACCAACAAATATCTTGCAATTATAAAGTTATGAACTAATATCATTCTTATAATATCATGCAATTAATGTTATGTTAAGTTGTTAACCAGAAAATAGATAAATTTGTATTGGAAACTTATTAAATAAAAATATGATACATTTTTATGATGAAAATCCTATTTTCTTTATGATGATGATCTAGTATTTAAATATCTGACGATATGGATAATATCATTACTTGTACTTTAAATATAAAACATTTTGAATGTTTGTTTAAGTTACAAAAAAAAATGTATAACCATGGGACATTTATATAAAAACCTTTTAAGTTTTTTAGAAGTCATGGTTTATGTTACATCACAACTCGTAAGTTTGGTCCAAAAAAGTTTTGATTAGAACCAGACGTCCAAACTTTTCCTTTTGTTGTAAGTTGGTCCAACTTGTAATGAAATTTTTCATAATGACGATTTTACTATTACCTTTTTCTTTTTCGGCTTCTTTTATTTATTTAAATATTTTTGTAATTAAAAGAAAATTTGTCTTTTTTATTTTATTTTTATTATCTTTTATAATAAAAAAATGCAATCTCTCTCTCTCTCTCTCTCTCTCTATATATATATATATATATATATATATATATATATATATATATATATATATATATAACTCATTCCATTCCCTCAAAATCCATAACCAAGATCTGAAGTTTCAATCAAGTGTCTTCTCCCAAACATAGTTTTTGTACATTCATTTAAAATTTGGTACAACTTCAAGGCTACAACTTTTTATATTCAGTTGGTATCGGAGGCGGTAACCCAATGAGTTATCCTCCGCCTCAAGGCTACAGCTCTCCAAACCTGAAAACTACTGAAGACGACGACGTTTGTGGTTGATCTGAAAGATGAAGACGAAAAAGCGGTGGTCATCCTTCTCCGGCTTGATCTGTCGTCGAACGACCACCAAATTCATCATCCACTTTCTCCGGTCGTCCTTCTTGTTTGAGCTTGCAAACCCTCATTTCAAATATGGAACAACATCATCACCATCTTCATCTGTAGCTTGAGATAGTTTGTGGTTCGATCTTCGCTTGTGAAGTGGACCAATGTCGGGGGAGAGAGTACCGGTGAGATTGCGGTCGGAGATGTCGAGATTGATAACATGGCATCCTCGTCAACCGGTGATTCAAGAACAGACTGGAAGGTGCAACTTCGGAGGAAAGAGTACCAGTGAGATTTTCATGATTGACTGCATCTAACAAAGGCTGATAGGAATGTGGGTATTTGGTTGTGTATTTGATAGGTGCAACTTCAGTTGGAATTTTCATCTTAGGTGATAAAAAGGTGCAAGATGAGTATGTGTGTGTCATTTTCTTGAAGATGATCAGAGAGAGATAGTGTGAGAGAGAGAGTGGGAGATATTTGATTTTTGTTTTATTTTTAATTGTTATGATAAAAGAAAATTGGAAAATATAATAATAATGGGCAAATCCGTCATTATAAAAAGTTTCTAAAATTTTGGACCAAACTTGCAACAAAATAAAAAATTTTGACCTCTAATGCTAGTCCAAACATTTTTTAACCAAAATTGCGAATTGTAACATAACACAGGGACTATTCTTATAATTTTGTAAGTTATTTATTACATTTGTCTTTGTTACTTGTTTTTAGAGAGGTTTTCAGTTACCATCAAATAAAATTCACAGAAAAACCTTATGTTTATAAATCTTTTATGTTTTTACTTTAAGTATGTTTATATATATATATATATATATATATATATATATATATATATATATATATATATATATATATATATATTATACATCTTAATGCAGAAAAATGCAGAAAAACATTTTTTTAAATATCTTTTCATTTATATATGGTTTTTTTTTTGGCCTATTTATACGATTTAAGATGTAAAAGTATGTATTTAGAAACATAAATACGTTTTGCCTATGAATATTATTACAATCGTTTTTAACATATAAGAGCGTATTGGTACATATTTTTGTTCATCATGCATTTACTTTTTATTTTTTTATTTTTAAATTATTGCCAAATTTTAATGATGTGAATACTCGTTTCTATATGTGGACTAACATGTCATGAAGGGCATGTCACTGATCACTGTGTATGTTTTTGTTATTTTAGGGTAGCAAATGTTGTTAATGTCGGGTTTACATATGAAATCTATGACCCACATTAAGAAGGTGTTTGAGATTTCATTTTGAACGCCAAAATGATTTTTATGCAAAATAACTTATTGACTTATGAAGATCGAAAAATGAGTTTTTAAAAAGTGTTTGGATTAGTGGCAAAAGTCAACAAGTTATTTTTTTAAGTGTTTGACTTGTCTTATCAATTGTAAAATGACCAAAAAGTGAAACATCCCAAAAATCACAGTAAATTTGAACTTTTCAAAAAGAACCTAATAACCATAATTGTTTACAAAACCATTATTTCAAAAGTATTTCAATAATCATAGTATCCCAAAATCCAAATAATATAAATCTAAAGGATGTGTTGCCTTCGCCTTGTCACGATCATTTAAAGTACCTGAAACAATAAACTTAAACTGTAAGCCAAGTCTCTATGATTTCCCCCAAAGTACCACCATACAAACATATAATCAAATAGATAACGGGTCCACAACCTCCTAGTTGGATTACCCCTGGGCCACAACCTCTTGGTTGGAATGCCCCAGTCGGTTGACTGACAGCACAAAGCAGTACAGTCTCAACCCCACCATATCATGTCGACGTACAGATAAAAAATAACATATATCCTTCACCATAATCATATAACCAATCAACAGACAAACATGCATATCTACAAATCACTACCGCATAACATCCTATAAACCAGGGCACAGATCTAACAGATCACTACAATATAGTAACATCCTCTATACCAGGATACATAAACTAATGGGTCGGAATTGGGGCCTGCGACCCACAAGAACAGTGAGGAAACTCACATTTCAGTGTGAACAAATAGCTTAATAGGTCTTTGTTCCGAATCTCAACTCTACCCATCACTTATTCATCAAATAGTGACCAATATCAAATATAACTTAAAATGCCTAAAATACCCTTAGGTCAAACTTGGTCAAAACAAGTCAAAGTCAAAAAACCAAACTTTGTCAACACAACTTAATACGCCCAACGTACTCAGCTTGTATGTTTGGTGTACACGAGACTTGACTGAAAACGTGTTGGGTTGAACTAGTACGGCCAGAGTACACAACGAAGTCCATTTCCTTATATTAAGAGTTTATTCTTTTAGCTATTTTGTCTAAATTCCATATCCAATCCTAAAATAACTTCCTTAACAAAGTTTCCAACTTTATGGCCTTGCATGGCTAATAAGTGCCCAACAATAAAAACTCTAACTTCTTTACTCATTAAGACACTCTAACTCATGCATGGAAGGGGAACTAAGAATCAAGATTACATTTTTATGACCTTAGACACTCCAAAACGTCTGAAAGGATAACTTGTATGGATCTAGAGCATGTCATACTCAAGAACAATATTGAGGTTGCTCCAAGCTTCCAAGTTGTTATCTCTTTATTCTTCTTCCTATATGAACACCAAAACAACCACAAATGGCTCAAGAATGCTAAAAAACGAATTAAGGTTTGCAAGGGTCGAAGTTGGGGCTGGAGGCTGATGAAAGAAATAAGACTTGGGACTTAAGGTTGCTTAAATAGGGTCCAAACCCTAAATATTAGGATTTGAGATTTCATCACGTACACCCAACGTACCTGGTATTACGTCCAACATATGTGGGGATTCCCCAAAAATTACAATTATGCTATTTTGGTCCAATTTTCCACAATTCTCATATCCAGGGCTAAAATGAAATTAATTATCATACTTAGGGTTAAAAATGGAAATACCTAAATATTAAGATGTTACAGTTCTCCTCCACTTGAACTAGACTT